GTATTTTCTTATCATTCAAACTGTAATTCGTTTTGGTAAAAATATGCATGTCATTTATAGTTTGCAATGGTCTGTGGAATGCTGTTGCATGAATGTCATGGGCATCTACTTCCTAGAGCTTGCTACATTAGGGGTGATGAGCATGCAGTCCCAACATCTTCAAATTGGACAAAATAAAATAGTACAGGCGGCAACCGTTTTCCTTGTGTCGAATTGATGTGCGAGTCCTTTTGGACCCGAAAGAGGGCCTGACGAAGCAGGAGCATAACAAGGTGGGCTTATGCATGCTCCGCCAACACGCAGGGGGGCCAGGAACGGAACCCCCGTGCAAAATGTTTACCGCCTGTAATTATAAAGAGTAATTTCACCTCTTTCCGTTGTTAGGAACAGCCTGATTCTAGGATTTCATCTCAAAATAATTTTCAAACTTGTAGAAGCCTCCAGGACGGAGGGCGGGGGGAATGACTAACCAAGGTCCTGGATTTGTGTCCCCACAAATTTTTGGAGAGTGCATTTTTGGAGCATGCTTTTGGAGCATGCATCATCACAACTATAGCACTTTGCAGGCTGTGAATAGGGAAGGGAGCCAATAGGAGGCCTTTGTTGGTTCTCTAGGAGGTGGGACCTAGGGGTGGACCAGACACATTAGAGGCTTCAGTCTTCTGCTTCAGGCAGCTCAATGGAAGGTCCTGCCCTAACCAAACTTAAGCTCTACGACCAAATAAAATTGTGGCCTTTGTGTAAACCTGTATCAGACTGAGCCATTATTGCTTGTGGACCTAATGGCATCACTGTGAGTGAGCCCACAGACGCGGACATGAAGCAATCATACTTAATGATGCAGAAATATTGCAGAATGATCTGACATTTGAGGACTACATAGGAAAGAGCTTTGACCACAGTAGTTCAGGCACTGGTGATCCCGAGATTGGGTAACTGCAATATATTCTAGGTGGGGCTTCCTTGCACTTGTCCCGGAAGCTGCTGTTGAGCAGAATGATGTAGCATGGTTGCTAACAGGAGTAACACCTCTGCTCAGAGGTCTGAACTGGTTTACTACCGGGCCAAGTTCCAGGTGTTGTTATTAGTATATAAATTATACTAATAATATAGTATAATCAAACAGCTTTGAACCAGTTTAGTAGTAAGACTGCATTACCCCATATGTGCCCACGCAACCGCTTCAATGTGTGGAACATGTGCCACATAATACTCATTTTGCATTTGCAAGAGATCAGTGTGGCAGTACCTACATTATGGGACTCTGCTATCGATGTTAGGAAGGCATCTTCAAGGCACTCTTTTCAGCACCTGCATAAAGCATTTCTGTTCAGGGAAGCCTATTCAGACGTAAAAGTTCCACGTGTTTTGTTTCTTTCTAGCGACACTTGATTTTAATTGTCCTTTGAATATTTTTGAGTGTTTTATCAATAATTGTAATGTTTTGTCTTTAATTTTTGTAAACCATTTAGAGGTTTTTTGTTTGTTTTTTACAAAAAAAGAAGTTTATACATTTTGCTCAATAAAAAAAATGAATAAATAAGTTTGCTTTTCTACACAGGGCTAGCAGATACAATGGAGCTTAATCTCAGATACATGGGCATAAAACACAGCAACCTTGAAGTCTTTTCTTGGTGCCCATAAAGCCCTGAGCACTCGCCCTCCTTGGTCATGACAGGGTGAGGGTAATTACCTTTTTCTCTCTAGAAATATACATAGAGCTGAAGAAGGAAATACAAAGTGTGACACTTTTCCCCATTTTGTCTCCCACCTCTATGTGCTTTTCTAAGGCTCAGATCAGTTCCACGGGATGACATTTATCCAGATCTCTTGGGAAAATGAAGTTTGTGCATGTGCACTTTTTCTCTACTCCTGTTCTGTGTGTGTATAAATTGAAAGAGCTGGTGGTGCCTGCAGCATTTATTCAAAAATTCAAATTATGCTTATGGGCCTAAAGAAATTGGCAACCCCTCCACTGATGTGTAATGATGATGTAAATTGCCTTTGTGGCATCAGAAAAAGGAATGCCTGTTGCAGGTCTTTTGTGAGTTGGTACCTCATAGGGTTTATGCATGGCAGTGGTTCCCAATTAGCATTTTCTGTTACAATAAAAACAGATAAACGGGGAAAGGTACATATATCTGTTGTCTCCACTTCCAGTTCATATTCTTTTTCGGTTCGACTGCATTTAGTGAGAGACATTTTTGTCATAGACATCTTGCATTTGGGGGAAAGGGAGGGGGAGAGATGGGGTGTGGTTCTCTTGTTCTACTGCCTGTTATTAGTGATGGGGTTTGTGTCAGCATCCTGTGGGTAGGTTGGTGTATGCATTTATTTCTTTATATTGATGAAGCAAGAGGTTAGGGGGCCCTGAGCTGGGTTGGTTGCATTCTGTTGATTGCAGTGTGGCTTGTTTGTTTGGGGGGGGGGTAGATTGTTGGGTCAGGTATGGGGGGATAGGTCATTGTCTTGTTGTGCTGGGTATGTGATAAAAGTGTTCTCATGCTAGTTTGAGTTTGTTGGTTAACTTCTCTAGTAGTGCGGTTTCCCATACATTTTGGTACCAGTGGTCTATGTTCATTCCTGATAGGTCCTTCTGCTGTCTAGTTATGATATTTCTAGCTGCTGCAAGTTAAGTGACTCATGAGTTCTTTGTCGTGTGTGTGTGCGCGCGTGTGTGTGTTATCCTGGAAGATATTTAATAGGGCTAGTTTGAAACCTAATTACTACAGGGAAGCTGGAGTCAAAACCAGGCTGCTAGCACACAGTCAGTAGAGGTTGAAGAAGAAGAGACAGAACATAGCAAATGTTTCAAGAAGTGCCACTAAGCAGATGCATGAGCAAGCAAGAGGCTTGTAAACGTTTCTTGTAATAGCTTGAGACAATCTGAGGAAGTATATAGAGCTCAAAAATCCTGAAGTACAAGACGTAGTGTTGATTCCAAGGCCTAACATGACTCACATAAAAACTGTCCCTTGTAGAAATTGTGTCAACTGCTAAATATGTGGCAGATGTTTTCTTTCTGCTGCTTCTGTCTGTCTTGTCTCTCACACACCATATACCAACCATCATACAATATGCCGGGGTGGGCAGAAAATAGACTGGGATTCAGTGGTAGATCTCTGGGTGATTTGAAGTAGACTGGCAGGGATTTCTGGCTCTCAGCTTTTAAACAATGCCATCAATTATGCTACTTCATCTAAATTATACTGTTGAAATGAAGTGAGGGAGAGGAGGGGAGAGGACTCCCCAGAAGTAGATTTTTGTGTGGAAGGAACTTAATTTCGTTCTGGTACTCAGAACAAATTTCTGGGCTCAAAATTGTTTAATTCCAAGTGCATGACATCTTTTGTAACCTGGATCCAATTGGTGGATCTCAGAGTTCTAGTAAGAACAAAGTAGATCCGCAAACTTGAAATCTGTCAGTTTTCACAATCTGTTGGCATAATTGCGTTGTGACAGTAAATTATTATTGGAGGCCCCATGCAACACTCTGAAGAAGAACAGAGGTCGAAACACATGGGAATCAGTAACAAAAATATATTGTGCACCTCAGGATACCCTACTTCCTTTTCCCTGCAATTAGTGCCTTCCTACTTTTTCTTTCCTGTACAATCAGTACAAATCAGAAAAATATAAGAGTGCCTAATGCTTTTCAATTCCTACTCAGTTAAGCGCTTAAATCCCATGAAGCGTGTTCTTCTTTCTCTGGTTTGTGCCCAGGTGGGTTAATTTAAGGTCAACAGATGAAGGAATGGCCATGAAACAGATTTCTGTGGCGGCACATGGCAGAATTTAAGGTGTTGGACATTTAACATTAATTCATTCAGAATTGGAGCCGGTTGTCTGAAACGAGGACTGTACCAGGATGTTGGTTGAACATGTATAATAAGTACTTATATGGCACTTTTTGAATGTTCTAAATATTGGAACATTTAAAGTACATCATATATACTGGCATAGTAAGGTAACTTCATTTTATTAACCCTCTACTGCAGATGGGACCACCTAGTGAGTCCATGGCAGAGATAAGATTTAAGGCAGGGACCTTATTCACTCACAGCTACATTAGCTCTAATCTATCCTACGCTCCATTGAACCCAATGCAATTAATGCAGCCTGCACATCATTTAGATATAGAACACAGATGTTGTATTTACTTAAGTGATTTCGTAGGTTTCTTAAGCTTAGTCATTCATGCTAGTATCACAGCAGAAATGTAAGCATCTGTAAATACTGCTAAAAGATACAAACACTGCAAAATCGCATGAGTCCTGAAGACACTGTTTTAAAACTACTTGATTTATGATGAGTAGCAAATTGAGCTACAAAACAATTAATCTGCAAACTATTGAAAATTTTTATGCAATAATAATTTGTTGCATACAGCTTGCTGTTTTGATTTGGTTTCAATATTCCAGAGTTATTGTATAAAGAGAGAGAAAACAAATCTCAATACAGTACTTCCTTAAAAGCTATTTTTTGGTATGTTGTGTGATGTGAATATTTATGATTAAATGTTTGCAGGTTATAAATTAGATTGAGGAAGATTGAAGTGTTTTAAGAAAAGCAGAGATTTAAGCAAGCCAATATACCAATAAAAAGTCCCAAACTACTAAATAACTGCTTAAACTGCACATCAAATCACGATTTCTACATCTATATATAGCATGAAAATAGAAAGATTAAGCACTGATTAACATATCTTCTGGGTATGCTCTCATGTGCCATGTCTACCACCTTACAACATCTTATGCACATGACTATTTACAACTAAGCTAAAAATGAAAAAAAAAAACTTCATATGAAACTGTCAGGGGAAATATTCATGAAACCCAAAACATATACTATTTATTAAACATTGCATACTGCACATGACAATTAAGGAAAGAAAGAAAAATAAATGTAAACAAATTGTCCTTTATGAGAATTGGCTTTGAGTTAAAAAATAATGAAATAGTTTTTTAAATGATTCACTGTGATTGAAGGCTTCCGCTTACCCCTTTCTGGAGCCCCCCAAATGGGATTGTTGGGAATTTCTGCAGCAGAAAAACAGAAGAGAAAAGGGATTTCTGACTCCTGGATCAAGGAATAGTGGGTCAATTTGTAAATGGCTGGGCAAAAAACAAGCAAACAAAAAAAATCTTGGAACATCCTTTGGCCAATTAATTTTGGATGAGTTATATTCATCCTTTGATTGTTTCCAGGAGGAACATGAAATGATTTAACAAACAAAAAAATCACACTGAAGGGTAAGAGGAAACGTAACCTAAATGGTCAAAAGTAGTTTTTTTAAAAACCCTAATTAATTTCAAATTCAAACAAAATGTGCATACAAACCTGGATGTACTCAATTCCTAATCCAGGTGGATTAATATCTAATATTAGTGTCGCTGGCTGACTCTTTTATATTGTATTAAATACTACTGCCATAGCTTTAATTAAAATACTAAACATTCTTACCCTGAAAAAACCTAATGCTATGCAACTCTTGGATACACTGCTGTACATATTTCAAATTATGAAATAATGAACAAGCACTGTTGACCATGCTCTGCTGTTGTATAATCACCATTTCATGCAATCAAGTTTATGCAGGGACTTCACAGTTTATTGCACACAACAGATTATATGTGTTGCTTCAGCATAGTGGATTGCACTCTAGGATTGTGTACAATTCTCTCCTTGGTCTTCAAAAGGCAAAGTAATCTTAGATAATTTCTTAAAAGACATTTCAAAGAAGGCGAAACCACCAGGGTAATATCAGTTAGCTATAAGCACTGAAATAAAGGAACTTTATGACCAATATTGCATATCATCCTTGGGTGATTAATAAGATTTATAAACAAAATAGATGCATTTTAGGTTAAATGGGAGCAAAAAATCCAAAATAGTTGTATAAAGTATAAGTTTTAAAAGGTGAACGGTTCTTTTTGTACATTACATCTATCAGTGCACTTTTGAATACAGAAAATAGGCAACAGTCAGTGGAGGATTTCTATGATTATATATCCTTGCTTCTTGCGTGAGTGCCAAACATCTGCAAACCCAATTCCCAAAATTTTGCACTGGGTGAACTGTCTACGTATAGGGTGAGTCTTTTAAAAGAGGCCCCGTGTAACATGTGTTCTCTGTATCCACGGAGCCTCTTTTCAAGGACTCACCCTGTACAAAGGCATCTGTAACTTACCTGTATAATGTTAATACAAGCCCTGGATGCTTTCATAAAGGCACAAGTAGGAATGGGCAAATCTGTCAATTTTGGTTTCAATCAGTTTGTAATTTTTCAAATCTTTGGTTCAGTTTTCCACATTTCTGCATCAGTGTCCTTTATTTTTAAAGTCTTAATGAAAATGAATCAGTATTTTACTGATATACACATTACTTAATACACATATTTATACAAACAATTCTCCCTAATATAATGCATATTTGTATGTTATTTTCACTAATATATGCCTTTATGCATACTTACCCTTATTGTATGCATTTTTGTATACATTATTTAGTTGAAGAATGCATCAAAAGTTTGGAGAAGAGTGAATTCTGAAGGGTGGCTGTGTTCCTATTTGCACAGTGTTTGGGGAAATGTGAATTAGGTAGGGATGCCTTTAAAAGCTGACTAAATCAAATTTTTCTTCCATCTCCCCAAGTCACTCAAATTGATTCTTTATTCAACTCTACATGCAGTAGTCACTTACAATATTCTTAAATCAGTGCAACTAAGTGAATTGCATAGACAAAAGCAACCAAGGCTTGTACTAATAGGGATCAGATACCTTTGCCCATGCTACCACAGTAGAAGAGGAAAAGACACAACCTGTTCTTTCTCTGTAATAAGTCATGGCAGTAGTGATGCTGGTGAATAGGAATCACTGGGCACTGGGTTGGGGTCAAGACTTTATACTGATTATAAATCTATGCTAGTGTTTGAGACTCTGCCTAAGGCTAATGGGATGCCATTTTTGCTGTCAGAGAAGTCACCAAGAGCCACATTTAACTCCCGAGTAGTAGAGATAGCAGCCATGTTTCTCTGGGCTTTGGCAATGGCCTCATGGTGCCACTGAGAGTTGATCACATTGTCAGTATACACCATGTCTATATGAACATGGATCATTCTACAGGTGTTGACTCAGGCCTTGTGATCTACCATAGAGGAGAAACTGTCAAACCACCCCAAAATCTAGTTTCAGTTCCGTGGCTCCAGAAGCCCCAATTTTAGAACAGAAGCAGCAGCCCTATTAAAAATCTACTACATGTCCTTCACCGTAAGAGACTTCACATAAAAAACAAAGATCTCCTGGGAATCCAGGAAAGATGCTTTATTTATGTGCTCAAGCCTAACTCAATCGAAAAATACATACTGTACAGTACCGTGTATAGTCATGAAATTATGAACATGACATATCACAAAAGGGAGGTGGCTAAGATCCTGGTTTTTCCCCAAGCAGCATGAGAGAAAAATACTACCTATATCCCTTCTTTCTATGTAGAAGAAGGATGGGACCTAAGACTCAGCTACATCCTACTTGTTCCCTTTCCCCAAGAGACCAGCATTGTGATAATTACACAGGCAATGGTAATGAGGCACTCAGAAAGAGAGGAGCTCAAGGTTCTGTTTCCAGATACAACACAGTATGCTGTTTTACCAAGTCAGACTACTGGATTATCTAGATCAATACTGTCTACACTCAGCTGTTCTCTTAATGACATCAGGTGGGCACAGCAAGAAACACGCGTGCATGAGGAACACTGATCCGGAAGCACCCCCAAAAAAGCATTCCTAGCACCAACATGTTGTGTGGAGGAGGCATCTAACTGAAAGAAGGCACAACCTCTCTGCAACAGATAGCGTAGCCCTCTTTTAGGCTAAGGGAAATTTTGCAGGGCACATCCTTCCACTTGATCACAGATGATACACACTATCATGACCCTGAAAAATGCAGAGCTGTGAGTGTGACATAACTACCAGCTGCTAAGAATTCTGCTAATCTTCACACAATTCAGATTTTTCAGGTGCTCCATTTCCCTACCTACTATATGTTCCATTTTATTTTTGGCAAATGGAAGGACTTTGAACTTTCATTTGAAACCTCGCCCACATACCTAGAGCACCAGCCAGTGCTTCAAAATGGCATCTACATTGGAGGGGTCAGAAATAGAATATAAATAGCTGTGCCAGATTGCAGCTAATGCCAGTGAACTATGAGAATCACAGAGTTTCCTCATTCCTTCCTATGAATGAGAGCAGGAGGGTAAGATGTTCAGTATGTGTGGAGTCCCCATGTACACAAACAAAATTGTTCCTTCACAGAAGAGGAACTTTTGTACATGTCTCACTTCAGATTATGCCCAACACAATTATTAATCTGTGCTATGTCAAGGCTAGATAATTTGGTTCAATTTTTTTTTTAATTAATTAAGTAGATCTTTCTAATTAAGATTCAGTCAGAAAACCAAGCCTTGTTTTTCACCCTCAGGCTTTTTGTTTATTGTCGCCTGAATGTCCAGGTTCATGAGTCACAGCACTAATGGGGCTCTTGTGATTAAGATCCTATAAATGTTTAGAGAACTTTGAGAGCTTGCATTTTATTGGCACATTTATTAGTGAGATTGCTGTTACAAGTTTTTGCCATGAAAATATAGGAAGCGCTATTGAACATTCTAACTTCTAGTATGAGAGCAGTAAACAACAATGGAACCTGCTAGCTACCAACATTAACCCCAAAGGATGAGAAATACATATGATATCATTTCCTATCTTAAAACTTTACTATCTTTCATCTTTGGAAATTTTGTGGATTCCTTTAGATGTGTTCTAGCATTTTTAATCTTTCAGTGCAGTGAGATTGCATCCAGCTTGTAGTGTGCTGTCAAATTTAATAACGCTTAGAGTCACTGAAATCAGTTGACTTTTCAATGGGTCTACTCTGCAGCCCCATTCATTTCAACTAATCTTATATAACTAATCTTATAGTTTGGGATCTACTCATGGATCTCTGGGTGATCTGCAAGGGTTTCTAACACACATCTACAAAGCTTCTCCTCTGCCCCATGCGAAAACAATAAGAGACTGGGGGTGGGGAGGGATACTTGGCAGAAAACCAGGACTAGATTTTTGCATGAAAATGTTTAAGAGCTTAGTTCTGATGCTGATTACTGATATGAATTACCGGTTCTGGTAGTGGTTACCAAATCTAGAGCTGAGCATGTGTTCCGAAGCACCCCAGTCCTTAATTTTTAGTGTAAGTCTGCATGGCTCAACCACTACTTTCCACCTGGCCTTGGCTGAAGGAGCTTGGGGTTTTAGTAAAAAATGAAATAGACCTGCAAACCTAAAATCTGCCCCACCACTGTGATACAAGACCAACATGAAATTTGCATTGAATTGTACTGAGGATGCAGAGTGATGAAAGTGGGTTACATGTTTTCCACAGTTCCCGAAATGTTGTAGTAGAGCTCTGAGTTTATCCGTGAACATGGATGAAGAGTTTTGGCACAACTCTTATGTCTTCCAGAGCTCCATTCTAGTCCATTAATGTCCGCTTTCATCACTGAGATCCTGCAGCAGCAATACTTCTTGGATTGCAGCCTGAATGATTATTCCGGGAGTGTTAGTTGTTTTATTAAAGCATCTCTTTGCTGCTAAAGGAAAAGACAAAAACAGAAGCAGTCTTTTTATTGAATTAATCTGATTTTCGTCTTTTGTGCTGCCAGCTATCAAGATTGTCAAATAAACCAGATTTGATTTATAAATAATAGTTCCATTATCTCTACTGGGGCACTGGTCAGAGTACCTGAAATTTTAATTCACTTGTTCAGCTAAATTTCATCCTCAGTTCATGGCCATAAAATTCTGTATTGACAAACTTTCAAACCAACTTTGACTCTGAGGTATCTAGTCAACATTTTTCTTCTGTGTGGATATTAGTTTATTGAATAAGTGGCATCTGTTTTCCTCCACATCACTGGTGGGGTAGGTATTTCCTTTTGACAGCTTTGCACGATTTATGGCTTTGCATGCTCCGAAGAAAAATAGTACTAAGCAAAAAATTCCAATTCATTACCTCTTAGTACTTAATTAAGTTCATACACATTGCACACTATAGGTGAACCCTGAGATGACTATGACAGCTGCTGAGCAGCAAGTTATATTATCTTTCAGAGACAGAATGACTTTTAATTATCTTGACCTCCTTTTTCCATCTGTGATATCCATACATTTCCCTTCTACTTTGTTCCCCCTTTCTAACAGATGTACCAAGCCAAGATTATATTCTTAGTCATTTTCTCTTATCTCTGTGTTTAGGTACCCTGTGTTTTTTTCCAAATAATAAAGCCAAGCTATGTCCACCATTATCTATGTGTTTTGCACAGCAGCAGATGAATTGCATTGTGCAGGTTCCTCCTAATAATGCTCTGGTGATGGAAAGGGTAACAGCCTGATAAAGCAAAAAGAAATGGATCTTACTATCAGAAGATATAGAAATAAAGAGTGCCCATGTTTTACCTGTCAGGGTTCTGTGTGCACACATGCATCTGTAAGAGGATCCGTTGGGTGAAAGTCTTAAAGCATTGCCCACATTTCCAAAGATGCCAGTCACTGAACTCTGAATTTAGTTGGCTTGTTGATGTAGGGCTTGCAAGGACTCGCTGGTTTTTTACACTGATCTGGTTAAATCCTGATTCGATAGAGCCTGATTTATCCAGAAGAGAGAAATTCCTGTTACACGGAGTCTGTGGAAATACAATGGACCGCTGTGGAGTGGCAGAGGGTAGTTTGCTACTTTTGTTAAATGGCTGCACGGTATCTTGTCTTGACATGGCTTCCATTACAGTTGAAGGGACATTCACTAAGAGAAGAGGGTGGGGGAAGAGAAAGTTTTTCTTATAACGAAGTATTCAGAGATAGGGAAAAAACCAAAACAATTTGAGTTAACATTAAAGAAATATCTGCCTTCTGCCTATTGACTAGAGCAAGCATTTATTACTAAAGATGCACATTAAATGGGCCAACCTAGCACAGTGGTACCCTGGTTCTCAAACTTAATCTGTTTCCGGAAGTCCGTTCCAAAGCCAAAGCGTTCCAAAACCAAGGCGCGCTTTCCATAGAAAGTAATGCAAAATGGATTAATCCATTCCAGACTTTTAAAAACAACCCCTAAAACAGCAATTTACCATGAATTTTACTATCTAACGAGACCATTGATCCATAAAATGAAAGCAATAAACAATGTACTGCAGTCACACAATCAAACAGTAGCTGAACTGAGTTCCACACAGTCACAAAAAAGCCACAAAAATGCAATAGCAAAAACAGACAGACCTCAGCGTAACACTCAAATCGGAAGTGTAACACTCAAAATGGAGCATGTTCGGCTTCCGAAAAAGGTTCCCAAACCAGAACACTTATTTCCAGGTTTGTAGTGTTTGAGTTCCAAGTTGTGGAGTACCAAGGCGTTTGAGATCCAAGGTACCACTGTAATGATCTCAGGCCTGGTCTACTCATGCAGCTGAATGAGGTGGCATAATTCTAAGGTGTAGAATGCGCTGTACTTCCTGACAGCGGATGGGAGATTCAATTTTGCATTACTAGAACAGGAAGCAAGTAGCAGGTACACGAGGGTGTTGTTTCAGACTGGGACCACCTCAGGGGCAAAGGGTTAAAGGTCCCTCCATTTAGAAGCTGTCCCAGTCCAGATCAGGTTATTTCATGACTGCTGTTACTTAAAGAAATATTCACTCAGGTAAGAATTGTGTAAATAATGTGATGTCCAGTTTGGCCCTAAGATCATTAAAATTTAGCTTAAAGGAAAAGTTACTTTGAAGGGGGAAACCCCTTACATCCTTCATTATAGTGAATATAAATTTGCAAAAGAAGAAATAATTTATTCCATACAAAATGTTATTGCACTTAGTTTCACATTTTGAACAATGTATAAGGTATAGAGAACAGTGAAGAGCATCAATGATTTCTCAGGAGTCAGAGATAGTCTCCAGTTTTACGGCTGTTTGCTGCTGTTCTTAGAGTTGTCATTTTTTAATTGCCATATATTAGGGGTGCACAACCACTTTTTGCTATGGCCAAATAACAATTTGGGGTAATTTTACTATTCCCTGAACCACAGTGTCAATAAATCCTGTCAAGTTGGATCATAGACACCACAAAGCCTTGTGTTGCTCTGTCACTGTTCTGTGTGTCTCTATGTTTCTCTACTCCAGGCTTTGCAAGAAGTGAGGCTACTTGCAGCTCACTGAAGAGCTCTGGTTAATTAATTAAATAATAATAATAATAATAATAATAATAATAATAATAATAATTTGTTAAAGCAGAGCAGGGAAGGGTTTCTTTTCCAAAAATTAAAACACTTATTTGTTTAAAAAATTGTCCACTGCTCTGCCTGAAAGTGGGAGGCGGGAATCTTCAACACTTCTCAGGCAGCATTAAGGACAGCCTCATTTTGTAATGCCTGTCTGGATGACATCACCTGCCAGCATAACAAGGCCCGTGTGAAGCTGCAAATATGTAAAGAAAATGTACAAGCAAGAACACACATTGACCATGTCTTAATTATTTTAATTATTTAGGAAAGGAAGAACAAGAGACAAACCCCTGCTTCTCCCCTGCTTCAAAATATGAAATTAACATGGATTTTGGAGTTTTGGTTGGCCTGATGAAGGTAAGAATGGATTCTGGAGGTAAATGAATTTCTTTTAGTTCCCCCACAAAACCCTGTCTGTCAATAATTTGGCAGGCTTAATCTGCTCTGTGCCTTCAAATGTAATCTGTCAAAAGGGGTGAAGTGATATAAAACCAGTTCCTGTAAAATAGTATCAATGTTCTTTTCACACTTCCTTAGCCAGAACATAGGTGGCAATCTGTCCTATATGTACATAGAGCCGTCTATACATGAAGGAACGTCTCTGTGGAGTTTGGAACTTAACAGGTTAAGTTGTTCCCATGATGCCACAACATTCTGACGTCAGCTTTTGAAGCTGGGAGGAGTTTGGGAGGAGTTTGCTGTTCCTCTCTGTGCTGTGAGGGGAAAAGACGCAGTTTGTCATGGCTGCAAGTAGTCCTGGATTTTCCGGAGAATTGTTGGAATAAACAACTGTAAATAGACAAACCTGTACTCTGTGTGTTTGTCAAAGGACGTGATAGCTTTCCCGCTGTGTTAACTCTGCTACGGCGTGACTGGAGCGGCAGAAGGAGCAGAGGCGCTCAGAGGAAGTGTGCCGGACCTGCCGGATCTGCCATAAAGAGCTAATTGGGGATCGTAAATCCAATTAGCGGGGTCATGCGTAATCAATCAACTTGACAGTCTCCACCCCCATTGTTCAGCCCGGACACTGAGGTCTAGCTCTAAGGGCCTTCTGGCGGTTCCCTCCTTCTGAGAAGTGAAGTTACAAGGAACCATGCGGAGGGCCTTCTTGGAAGTTGCACCCACACTGTGGAACGCCCTCCCTTCAGATGTCAAAGAGTGAAACAATTATTTGCCTTTTGTAGACAGCTGAAGGCAGGACAGTTTCGGACAGTTATTATTTGATGTTCTGTTTTGTCCCTTCATAGTTTTTGCTGGAAGCTGCACAGAGTGGCTAGGGCAACCCAGTCATACGGGCAAGGAACAAGAAATAAGTTGTTGTTGTTTTCTTATAGCTTGCCCTTCCATTAAGAATCCATCACTGCACTGCATGTTTCAGTTGCTTATGCTCAGGCTTAGGTTAAGGGCTGAGTTACAGCAGGGCATGGCTACTAATAATCTAAGAGTTCTGCATGGAAGCCTGATCCAACAGCAGGGGGCTAGCCCTGACACAGGGAGCTTAGAGCTTCAGCTCCTGGACACAAATATATTTGGATCAGGTCTTACACTTTGAATCAATTTACAGGTCACATCCAAGACATCCATGAGCTGAATAGGAAGGCAATTTTTGGTGATTCCCCTTGCCACCTGTAGTCCTCCATTTCCCCCTTAATTCTGCTCCAGAGTGTCACCCAATCCTTCAGAGCAATTTGAGGCAGGGGAGCTATAGGAGGCAGAAGGAATAATTGAAAACTGGTCTCGTCCCTGGTCTACTTATGGATGCATTTTGTCAGCAGACAGACACCACCCAATGGCCACTTACCAATAATAATAATAATAATAATAATAATAATAATAATAATAATAATTTATTATTTATACCCCGCCCATCTGGCTGGGCCTCCCCAGTCACTCTGGGCGGCTTCCATAAAAACCACAAATACAGTAAAATATCACACGTTAAAAACTTCCCTGAACAGGGCTGCCTTAAGATGTCTTCTGAATGTCAGGTAGTTGTTTATCGCTTTGACATCTGCTGAAAGGGCGTTCCACAGGGCGGGCGCCACTACCGAGAAGGCCCTCTGCCTGGTTCCCTGTAGCTTTGCTTCTCGCAATGAGGGAACCGCCAGAAGGCCCTCGGCGCTGGACCTCAGCATCCAGGCAGAATGATGGGGGTGGAGACGCTCCTTCAGGTATACTGGACCGAGGCCGTTTAGGGCTTTAAAGGTCAGCACCAACACTTTGAATTGTGCTCGGAAACGTACTGGGAGCCAATGTACGGTAGGTCTTTCAGGAACAGTGTTATATGGTCTTGGTGGCCGCCCCCAGTCACCAGTCTAGCTGCCGCATTCTGGATTAGTTGTAGTTTCCGAGTCACCTTCAAAGGTAGCCCCACGTAGAGTGCATTGCAGTAGTCCAAGCGGGAGATAACCAGAGCATGTACCACTCTGGTGAGACAGTCTGCAGGCAGATAGGGTCTCAGCCTACGTACCAGATGGAGCTGGTAAACAGCTGCCCTGGACACAGATTTGACCTGTGCCTCCATGGACAGCTGTGAGTCCAGAATGACTCCCAGGCTGCGCACCTGGTCCTTCAGGGGCACAGTTACCCCATTCAGGACCAGGGAATCCTCCACACCTGCCCGCATCCTGAGCCCCAAAAACAGTACTTCTGTCTTGTCAGGATTCAACCTCAATCTGTTAGCCGCCATCCAACCTCCAACTGCCTCCAGGCACTCACACAGGACCTTCACTGCCTTCACTGGTTCTGATTTAAAAGAGAGGTAGAGCTGGGTATCATCTGCATACTGATGAACACCCAGCCCAAATCCCCTGATGATCTCTCCCAGCGGCTTCATGTAGATGTTGAAGAGCATGGGGGAGAGGACCGAACCCTGAGGCACCCCACAAGTGAGGGCCCAGGGGTCTGAACACTCATCCCCCACCACCACTTTCTGAACCCGGCCCAGGAGGAAGGAGCGGAACCACTGTATAACAGTGCCTCCAGCTCCCAGCCCCTGAAGACGGTCCAGAAGGATGTTATGGTCGATGGTATCAAACGCCGCTGAGAGATCCAGCAGAACTAGGAAACAGCTCTCACCTTTGTCCCTAGCCCGCTGGAGATCATCAACCAGTGCGACCAAGACAGTTTCAGTCCCATGATGAGGCCTGAATCCCGACTGGAAGGGATCCAAATGGTCCGCTTCTTCCAGGCGTGCCTGGAGTTGTTCGGCAACCGCTCACTCAATCACCTTGCCCAAGAATGGAAGATTTGAGACTGGGCGATAGTTGGCCATCGTGGCCGCATCTAAAGATGGTTTTTTTAAGAAGCGGTTTAATAACCGCCTCTTTCAGCGGGTCTGGGAAGGCTCCCTCAGTCCTTCCCGGCTAGCTTTTATAAGCCAGGATGGGCAAGGATCCAGGAGACAGGTGGTTGGTTTCACTCGTCCAAGCAGCCTGTCCACATCCTCGGAGGTAACAGATTGGAATTGATCCCACTCAACTTGACTAGACAGAACTCTAGCACTCTCCCGCCCCGGCCCTGCTCCCATG